TGACCGAGTCTGGTTTTATCTCTTCCCTAACACAAGTTACCACATCTTTTCCTAGAGACATATGTATAGTTAAGGTCAATTCCCATTTTATCTGGGAAGTCCTTTTGTTGTTTCCTATGAAACGTCATTTCCTTCTGTCAAATACTTACACCTCTCATATTTTCATTTCAAACGATCTGCCTCTTGCACCCTTTATGGGTATCCCCTCAGCTAAAGTATCTTTTGGGGCAGATTTTTTTTTTCAGTTTGTAGATTAGGTGATGTGGTTCTGTCATATTCTTGTTTGGGGGAAAATTTATCTTGGGTTTGAGTTCTACTTTATAGTTTTTCAAGTTAAAAATGATGCCATTAGCTATTGTGTGAATTCAGGAGGAAAACTCCCTACCCCCTCACCTCATATGGGTTCTTCTGACAGGACAGTTAAAACAGATTAACTCCAGAGAGATTAGTAGGAGAAAAGGCCAAAAGTTAGTAACATACATATGGGGAATTCACACAACTGTGCATTATGAGGAATAAGAGTAGACCAGGTACAGTTATTCTGTGTTTCAGGGCCTGGGACTCCGAGGACAGAGAGGGAGAAAGCTCACAAGATAGACACAAAAGGGATGACCTTACCTTTACTCTTGGAGAGGACATGTTCTAGATAAATCTACATCTGGCTGATAGTCCCCACAGTATAGTCTTCTTGGTTGTAAAAGGAGGAGTACTGATTCTTTAATTAGGAAAAAGGGGAAAGATCAGTTTCCGAGGACCTTTATTTCTCTTAATTTAAAATAATCTGTATTCTTTCAATAATGGTAATAGACTTTCTGAGGCAAATGGGTCTCCACCAATCTTTAGTTCATATCAAGTGACACTTACTGGAAGAGGCCTACTCTGGACATGTTGAGATAGCCTAGCTAACTCTTTGGGAGAGGATAGTGATGATGATGATAATATCATCTTGGTCACCAGACTTTTTAAAAAATAATTTTATTATAAAAATGGTCAAATATGGAGGAAATTTGAAAGAGTAAAACATTAAATGCTCATGAACTGTCCCTAAGAATCAGCAAATGTATCACTTGCATATTTATTTTATGACTGTACTTTTTCTTTTGGCTGAAACACTGACAATTATTGCAACTATCATGACACTTTATCCCGATTACTTAAGTATACATTTCTTTTTCTTTTCTTTTTTTTAAATTTATTTATTTATTCGTACAGAACTGGGATACAGGCCAGAGATGCGGAGGGTGAGAGGATTCACCAGAGACAGAGTGGGGTATAGAACAGGCAGATCGACGAATTACACTGCTGAGGGGAGCAGCGGGTGGGTCAGGAGAGGTCTGCTGTGCCATGTATCTCCTTCAGGGCAGATGGGGATTGAACTCATGGCGGAAGTGCTTAAGCTTCTCCGTGTTGTGCTTTAACCTGCTGCGCCACCAGGGAGGGCCCACTTTTTCTTTTTTTTAAGATTTATTTACTTATGCACACAGAATTGGGGTACAGGCCAGAGGTGCAGGGGTGATAAAAGGATTCAGCAGAGACAGAGTGGGGAGCAGAGCAGGCAGATTGACAAAGTACACTGCTGAGGAGAGCAGTGGGTGAGATAGGAGAGATCTGCTGTGCCATGTGGGTCACTTCCGTGCCCAGTATTGAACTTGTGGCTGAAGTGGCTGCTGCTAGCTTCTCAGTGCTGTGCTTTAACCCATTGTGCCACCAGGGAGGGCCCGCATACATTTCTTGAGAATATTCTCTGCGTAGTCACAATACTGTTACCACAGCTAAGAAAATAAATAAGAATTTCAAATCTGCCAATACTCAGTACATAATCAAATTTCTCCAGTTGTTCTAAGTATGTATTTTATAAGTGCTTTTTAAAAATAATGATTTATTTTTATTTATACATGCAAGAACTGGGGGGTAGGCCAGAGGTGCAGAGAGTAAGAGGATCCACCAGAGACAAAGTGGGGAGCAGAACAGGCAGATTGACTGAAATACACTGCTGAGGGGAGCAGTGGGTGAGACAGGAGAGTTCTGCTGCGCCATGTGGGTCAGCTCCCTGGCTGGGGGTTGAGGTCATGCTGCAGAGGCTGGCGAGAGCTTCATAGTGCTGCATCTTGATACCACATAGGTGCCTCATAGGTGTTTGGCTTTTGTTAAAAAGCATAAGCTATCTGAGCTTATGTGAAAAATATTTCTTGTCAATTGCTTTTGATTGTTTTATCATTTCTAATCTGCAGTGGTAAGTTAACTACTGCTGCTAATTACTACTACTAATTACTAAGTAAGCATTAATAATCTAATGTTTTTTCATATCATTGATTTGATGGCATGTCCTGGCCAGTTGTTATAAAATATTCCATATTTACACTTGTCTTATTGTTTTTTCAAGGTCATTTAAGTTGTTCCACTCTTCCCTTCTATGTTATGTAATTCCTCATAGTGAAAGTTAGGTCTAGAGGCTTGATTAGATAAACTTAGGCTAAAAGCACATTTAAACTTAGGCTAAAAGCACGTTGGCAAAGATATTTCATAGGTATTGCCCTTGTGTGTCATGTTTCATCATATTGCATCACATTAGGAGACACAGAATATCAGATATATACTCAGGGTGTTGCTAATTTTGCTAACTTCTACCTCTCTCAATTAAAAAGTTACATTTTTCCCTTAGCAATTAGTATTTAGCCTGTAGGGAGATTGTCTGATACAATGATTTTAGCATGCAGTGATAATAATCCTGTTGGAATCTGCGACTACATTGGGTATTACAAAATAGTGATTTTCTAATTCTATTATTTAATCTTTATTAGCTGGCTTTTCTTTGGAGAAGAGCTTTTTTCTAATTTTTTTATGATTATCTTTATGGACTTTGAGGTATTTAAAATGTTAATCAATTTCAGGTATTATTTTTGATATTCAGATTGTCTCAAATTTGACCAGTGATTGCCCTTGCAATCTGGTTCCTACTGTATCTTTTTAACTTGATTCCAATATCCTTTGGGTATTTCCTTTCTCAAATAAAATGTCCTAGGTTCAGTTTATACTTGGCTGTGTCCTGGGCCTGGAATCAGTTATTTTCTTTAATGAGCCCTGTTTTTTCCTTTATTTTTTCATTAAAAAAAGCTTATTTTTTAAATATATTTTACATCATTGTACCTTTTTGTACGATGTACGTTTTCTCTTCAGTGTCGTTCCCGTAAAATTTCCACCGTCAGTTTACCCCGTGTGCCATCTCCACAGCCCCATGTGTTCTTCCCTCCCCTGTTTTGATCCCTCTGCCTGCTCCTCTCCAGAGCCCTGTTCTTTTGAATAATAGTTGGTATGTTCTTTGTTTCTAGAACGGCATTGCCTCTAGGCTCTTTGAGGACAAGAAAGTAGATTCAATTTTGTTTCAAGAAGCCATTAGTTCGTATAAATATTTCTAATTCATAATTAGCATTACAGAGACTTTTTTTTTACTTTTGACCTTTTTTTTACTTTTGTATCTTATGTTGCAAACTCCAGATTTTCACAGAATTTATATATTTGTTTTATCCCACAATATAAATAAAAGTTTCAAAATATTGTAATTGTTGCTATTAGTTGATAGAAGTTTAAGATTTCCTTGTGTTTCCTTTTTCCTGGATTATATCTCAATATGGTTGTTAACTCAAAAAAAGTTATACCTGTTATTAATTTGATATAGATATGTTCTTTTTTTCCTGTTTATGTTCATTTTTAGGATTTGCCTTTTCTCCTTTTGAATTTTATTTTTTTTATTCTGGTTGAAAGTCAAAATTATAGCAAAAGGAATTTTGAGATTAGAGGAATTTCAGTCCTTTCTCTATAAACATTTCATTATTTCCTGGTTTATCCTTTCAGTGTTTCTTTATTTCCTCTTCTTTCTCATATGAATACTTTAATCACTGTTCTGTAACTCTTCTCACTCAACAGATCTTGGTGTAACCCATTTTAGTTCATGAAGTGTTTTCTTCCCTCCCACCCTCTTTTTCTTTCCTTCATTTTTAATCACTGTGGCTTGGCATCGTATGGAATTATATGATTTCATCCCACTTTGCCCTGTTAGTAGACAATCTTTTGATTAATCTTTTCATTTTTTAAAAGATTTATTTATTTTACATAGGCAAGAGCTGGGGTATAGGCCAGAGGTGTGGGGCAGTAAGAGGATTCACCAGAGACAGAATGGGGAGCAGAACAGGCAGAACGGCTGAAATACACTGCTGAGGGGGTAGAGAGTTGGTCAGGAGAGGTCTGCCACACTGGGAGAGGCAGAGGGCGCTGACTGGGAATCAAACTCGTGCTTCAGTGGCTTTCAGATAGCTTCATAGTGCTGTACTTTTACCCGTTGCACCACCAGGGAGGACCCTTGATTAGTCTTATCCAAGATTTATAGTTTATTGTATTATTAAGATCATATAAAATAATCATCTGGAGTTACATCTTCAGGATAGATTCTTAGAAGTGAAATTTAAGGATTTAAGGGTAAATTTTTTTAGGTGTTGTTAAATTCTCATTCATAGTGGAGCATTATTATCTTGCAGTTCTACTAGACTGTAATCAAGATACCTGTTACAGGATTACTAACAATGGATCCGTAAGCTAAATTCTTCCTTGTCTGTTACTAACCCATAATAATTCTAACTGGCATTTTCTGTATAATCTAAAATGTGACTGGGGGACTGTTTGTAAAAATTTTAGAGGTGGTTTTTGTCAAATATAATAAACATTACTATAGATATCTATATTTTGTTATTGGGTCATTTGAGTATATAGAGACCATATTTGATTTATTGAAACAGCAACACTAGAGTGATGTCTTTACAAACAGTTCCCAGTCAAATTTGTCGAGATATTGTTCTGATGAAAGATAGAGAATAGAGCATTTTGAAATTTCTTTTTCCAGAGTAACCTGCCAGTTAAATAATTTTGAGAACCACTGTTCCTGGGGCTTGAAACAATTTTTGATACTACTAACTGTCCTGTCTGTTTTTCTTTTGTATCCTGCCCAGGCTCCTGCCTATATTCGGGAATGTGCCAGATTGCACTATTTGGGCTCCGTGGTGCAAGCATCAAAGGTAAGAATAGGAACTTGCTCCTAGTTCAAGAGTTAAGAATAGTGGAGTTCTAAAACAAAGTATGCAATCAAAGAAAGCCATGGAAAATAAATGTTTGTCTTTTAGAATTCAAAATCATCCAGTTATTTAAAAAAAAAATTGAGGAGAATTATGTATTGAAATAAAAATGCCATTATACAATATCTGCTTTCCAAGGTGCTCCACTGTGGATGGTGTCCTCTGTGTGTGTGTGTGTATTAGTGTTAGTGTGGATTGATTGCACCAGTACCTTTTATCATAAAACCCTCGTGTGTGTATAGCATATGATATAAACAGTTTGAAAATAACAAGTGCAATAATAAAAGTACAAGTATATATAATACATTCTTGTTTCAAGTTCAGTGGTAAGTTATTCTTACATCAAATATTTAAAAGACTTGTGACTACATGAGCTTAGAAAGCAAATGTTAGATGCTTGTTAACAAGGTAACATGTAATTTTTGAGCTTTAGAAGCAAAGAAGTTTAAAAAACCTCACACAGAGATAAGAAAGTAATTTTAAATTATTTCTATTTAGTTCGGTTAGAAACTTTAGTTATCATCTCATGCTGTTTTTTCCTGCTCTGGTTTTTTCTACTTTTTTAGCAAATGTTTGGTGTGACCAGGAAAGCAGCGTTTGATTTCAGCTAGTTTAACTGGAGTGTGGTTTTTCTTAGAGAGTTGTTTTTGGTCCTGCTGTGTAGTCATCACATCATGTTGTCGTGTGTGGGAAAGAGCACTAGCCAAGAGCCCATGCATTTGGGCTCCAAGACAAGTCTGTTACTTTAATAGTCATTTAGATAATTTTAAACTTCAGTTATTTTCCTCTGTGAAAAGGGAGCGATACCTTCCCTGCTTACCTCAAAGCATAGTAGTGAGAATTACATGAGATTTGAAAAATGAACTGTTAAGAACTTAGATTCTCTGGGCAGGTCACGGAGGTGAGTTATTAATATAACCTATAGTTGTAGGCTTATCTTTATCTGATAATAGTACTTAGCTTTGTCTTCCTGGGTATAAGAATATCTTATATTCTTCCCCCAAACTTCTCTTTTTGTTTCAGAGTTGTAGGGCCTGAAAATAAAACTGGCAGGATATATTAATTCACTTTCCTTTCAATTTTTCTCTAGGATGATCTTGACTTGACAGTTTCATGTCATACTAAGTCCTTCCAATTTACAAAGTCTCAGAAACGGAACCGAGTGGATTCCTACTCCCATGAGGAGACCCAGCAGCGTACAGATGAGGCACTGAGAGAACTGTTCCAACACGTTCATAATATGCCAGAGTCAGCAAAGAAGAAACAACTTATTAAACAGGTGCCTGAAATCAGGGAAGTGTGACAGGGGTTTTTAGAATATAGAATCAATGGAAATATTCTTAAGAATCTCATTTAAGTTTGGGCTTTCATTGGCCCCAAGTATTGAGTCACTTGAGGAAGCGAACTTATCTGTGGAACTGTGGGGCTGATGTCTGTACTACTGCTCCATTGGGGAAGGAGTGGAGGCTTTTGGATTTCTGTAGTTAAACAGGAGGACCTACGGCCTCCCTCGTGGCCCAGGGGTTAAGTCTCAAACTGTCGCCAGACATTGCAGCATGAGTTCGATCCCCAGCCAGGAAACTGGTGCAGCAGATCTCTCCTGTCTCGCCTGCTGTTCTTCTCAGCAGTATCAGCAGTAGATCTGCTTGTTCTGCTCCCTACTCTGTCTCTGGTGAATCCTCTCAACCCCCCAGCACCTCTGGTCTACACTTAGTTCATGTATGCATAAAAAAAATATTAAACAAACAAACCTGGAATATCTAATGAGTTAAAAGTTTCTCTAATTTTGTCATGTACCAAGTATGCTGAGAGAGAACCAGCGGTTATATTGTCACAATTTGAAACCTTCACATTTTCTTGGCAAATAATGTAATCTTTCTGAATTTCAATTTTGTAAAGTGTGATTGTGATGTTCTATGTTTCATCACTGTAAAGATGAGAGAGAACAAAAGTAATAGCTCTTACTAATGAGTTGTTTGCATTTGGAAAACATGACAAGGGTTCAATCTGATACTAAAATTAGGAATTCTCGTGGCTAAGTTTATTTTGGAACGACAGGAGCAAAATTAGGCCTCTTTGCCATTTTGAGACTCAAGAGTGTTGCTTGAGTGAATCCTAATGATTGGTCAGTTTTTTTCCCCCTCGGAATTTGCCTCAATTTCTCTTGAATTTTAGCTGAACAAATAAGGTCAACCTCTTGACTTCTTACTCCACTGGAACTTACGTGAGGGGGTTGTCTGTGTTATTATTTATTTTTTAGTGATTGGTCAGTTTTTTTTCCCTCGGAATTTGCCTCAATTTCTCTTGAATTTTAGCTGAACAAACAAGGTCAACCTCTTGACTTCTTACTCCACTGGAACTTACGTGAGGGGGTTGTCTGTGTTTTTATTTATTTTTTAACACCTAATCTTAAATGTAGGACCAGATGTAAATAAGTGTTAAGAAAATGTTGGACTGGACTATTCTTAACAGTGGGGGAAGTGCTTTATGAGAAGCTTTCTATCACTCTTTGAAGGTTCTTTGAGCAATTTGTGCTACGACTGGAATTTTGCTGAGTATTGCAATTCAGCAATTCAGGTAGGAAAAGTATAATTTTTCTCCTTAAGAACATTGATGTTTAAAGATAGTAAATGGAAATTTTTTTTTATTTTTTATTTCAGTCCAGCATTTTCTTAACATTTATATCTGGTCCTACATTTAATATTAAGTATAAAAAATATTTTTTACTTCATTGGGAATGATAGAAGAAATTAAACCACTTATTTTACCAGTGTTTGTATTTTGAATATTTCTTTTAGTTAAAAGGAAAAAAGATATATAAGAGCAAATTCTTATGGATATATATATATATGTGTGTGTGTTTGTTACAGACTTATAATCTTACCGTATACTTTCTTTAATCTCTCCATTGGTCACTAAGCATTATAGCATACACATTTTCTCATGAAATCTCCTTTCATTGGGCCTCCCTGGTTGCCTAAGGGTTAAGTCTCAGCATTAGCATGGCTGCCACCTGAATTCAATTCCTAGCCAGGAAGCTGACCCACATATGACACAGCAGACCTCTCCTGTCTTGCCCACTGCTCTCGTTAGCATTGTTCTTTTGTAAATCCTGTTTTACTTCCTACTCTGTCTTTGATGAATCCTCTCACACCCCTCACCACCCCTAGGCTATATCACAGTTCTATGCAAAAAAAAAAAAAAAAAAAAAAAAAAAAAAAAAAAAAAAAAAAAAAAACCAAAAAAAAAACCAACATAAACTTCCTTGCATGATTTAAAATGCTGTCATTTATTTTGAAGACTCTATAATTTTACTACTTGTTAATTTTCTTCACAAAAAATTTCTCACTATAGAAATATTTAAACTTCCAGAATAGTGTAAAGAAAAAAAGTAAAAAAATCACCTGTAATTATCCAGAGATTACTTACCATTTTGGAGTTTCTTATCATGAACATGTATTTCACATTTTATCCTTTTGCTTAGTTGAGATTATACTATATATTTAGTTTTTTATATCTTACTCTTTTCACTTAACATCATATCAGGAACATTTTCCATGTCATTAAAAGTCTATAAACATTTTTAATGGCTGCATATTTCATCATATAATCTAATGTTATACAGTTTGCCATCTACAGGGCACATTGAGTAAATAAGTAATTTAAGTAATTTTTTTTTTTTGATAAGTTTTGTTCACAAGTACTTTCACTGTTGATTACTTCCTGGAAGTGGCATGACCAAAGGGCATGCTATTTTTCCCTCTTTTTGGTTGATACATGTACTAGGTCCTTTTAATATCAGGACCATCTTTCTCTCTCTGAATTCATTTTTCTCTCCAAAAAAATTACCAAAGTTTGCTTGATTTTAATACATTTAAATTTGAAATAATTTAGAGGAAAATTGCAAAGATAGTACAGAGAATTCCCATTTAGCATTTACCCAGTCTTACCCCCTAATGTTGGCATTGTCAAAACTAAGAAATTAACATTGGTATATTACTATTAACATTACAGACTTTATTAAGATTTTACCAGTTTTTACGCTAATAATTGTTTTTCTCCTTCAGGGTACCTCATTGCATTTAAACACAAATACATACATCTCTTTCTCTCTTTGTGCTTTTAAAAGAAACCAGATTATTTTTCATAGTCTAGATTTTCTGTCATGCTTGTAGTGTTACTTAATGTGTTCCTCAATCCTTCTATGATTCTAAAAGCTTGATCTCATTCAGATTTCATTTTTTGGTACATTTTTTGGTACATTTTTTGGTACAATGTACATTTGGTACATTTGGTACATTGGTGCATAAAACATTTATTTGTTTTATGCACATAGAACTGGGGTCTGGGGTACAGGGCAGAGATGTGGGGGCAGTGAGAGGGTTGACCAGAGTCAGGGGGCAGTGAAACAGGCAAGATGAAGTACACTGTTGAGGGGGAGCAGCAGGTGAGACAGGAAAGGTCTGACGCACCATGTGTCACCTCCCTGGCTGGGACTGAACTGGTACAGAGGCGGTTGTTGATAGTGTTGCAGTGCAGTCCTTTAACCTAATTAATGTACCACCAGGGAGGGCCTGGTGGTGTGTACTTTTTAATTTAATTACCCCTCATAGTAATTTCTGGAGTGAGCTCTGACTTCTTTTTCAGCAGCATCATGCCTCTCTGATTTGTTTGCCAACTTGCTAATCTATTTGTATATGGACTCACTCATTCTTTTTTTCCTGGATAATTACACTTACTCTGTTGATTGTCATAGACTGTTCCCTTTTGATGCAAAAATAATAACAAAATGTTTTCTATCTTTTCTTTTAGTTTAATAAGCAATCTGCGACCCAGACACCAGGACAAGAACCTTCTACTCCCTGCATACACAAGAGGGCACGTTCACGGTCCTTCAGTGGTCTTATTAAGGTAAGTATGCTTTGCTTTCCTTTTTAGCATTGACTGTCGGAAAACTTAACAGTCTGACTTTTCTTACACATGAACAGCTTTCTTGTTTTCTTTGGGATCCTTTTAAAGGGTTCATCTGTAAGGGGTTAAGGATAGAACTTGGAAATATTTTTATTATCCAAAGCATTTTGCTGTATCTCAAATCAGAGAAGGACAGGTTTCTTGTTCCTAGGCAGAGTAATGAGTCTTTTGCTTCATGACCTGCTTTGTGCTCCATTGTGTGGTTTGCTGAAATCAGAATTGAGAAAGTTGACAAGACTAGGGAAATTGTTAAGAGTGGATTAGGTAATTCAAATTTTTATAATTTCAGTATGTTGATCCATTGTTATATTTTCTTTCTGTGTATTAAATTCACTAAAAGCCTTGTTTTTAAAATAATTACAATATATGTATTTCTGTGCTGTTGCCACCACAATTTATGTTTGCAGACTAAGTTTATCATTCTTCATGGACAATCTGACCTTGTAGTTAAGGGATATTGCCAGCAGGTGGCAGTAGATTACTTGACTATGGGTTCAAATTTCTAGATATCAATAAGGGTAAGTTTCTGGTTAACTTAAAAAGAGACTAACCTTTTTCTTGTTCTTCTGTTTTTAAAATTGTTTTAACATTCCAAAATGTTTGAAATCCTGCCAGCAAAAATCAAGGAGTTCTTTGCATAAAATTAAAATTTGTACCCTAATAAATGCCCTGTAGCTTATAATTTTCTTCTTTAAGCTGCAGTTGTTATTATCATTGATAGGTAAGTTTAATATTAACTGTCGTTCCTGATCTACAGTGCCCGAATAGACTCTAGGACACTGGTTTTTCTTGATATGAAACTTTCCTTAACTGTCACAAAATCAAAAGGGAACCCATAACAGAGAATATGTTTGTAAAACATTTGTCTAATATGGGATTACTATTCAGAGTATGAATTTTTAACAACCAGAGTAAAATCCCAACCAGGTTAAAAAATGCTGAAGATTTTTATACACATCTCTGGAAAATGTACTTAAGTTGCTAGTAAATACATGAAAAAGATGCTCAAACTTAACCTGCCATTACAGAAACGCAAATTAAAACCACAGTGAGAATCAAATTCACACCCACTGGTGACTTACTACAAAGAAGACACAACAAAGTAACAAGTGTAGTGAGGATGTGCAGAAATTGGAACCCTGTTCTGCTGCACCGTTGGTGGGAATCTAAAATGATAAGTCACTATGAAAAATAGTATTAATGTTGCTCAAATAGTTGAAAAAGGAATTACTGCATAATCGAACATACCCACTTCTGGGTACATACTCAGAAGAATTGAAAGTAGGAACATGAACAGATATTTATATACTCAAGTTTGTGGCAACATCATTCACAGTAGTCAAAAGGTAGAAGCCAACCAAGTGTCCACTGAAGGATGAATGGAGAAATAAAATGCAGCATTTGCGGATAATGAAATATTACAAAGGAAGTAAGTCATGTCAAGAAGGATGGACCTTGAAAATACTGTGCTAAGTGAAATAACCAGTTACGAAAGAACAAACGTATTGTTCCACGTATGTGGCATACTTACACGTTTGCGCTGAGAGTAGCCAGACTCGTAGAAGCAGAAACTAGAATGGTGGTTGCCGGGGGGGGAGTGACTGTTTACTGGTACAGAGGTTCTCTTTGGGAGTCTGAAAGTGTTCTGGAAATGGATGGGGTTAATGTTTATATAATCTGACTGTACTTGATGCCACTGAACTCTCCATTTAAAAATGGTTAAACGGTATATTTTATGTTATGTGTATTTACCACAATAAAAAACAGTCCCTTAGTAGTGCATTCACTTGCTCACACATGGCCAGTAAAATGAACTTCTGTGGTTCTTTTTAGTTGAGAGCCTAACATTCCTGACTTCCCTGTGTTGATAACAGGAGAAGTTATAGTCAAATAAGTGTTTCTTTGACTAAAGTTAGGTATGTGTAGTAAGCACTTGGTTCTAGGTGTATTGCTAATGGTTGCTTGAAATGTAAGTAAACAGTATTCTCTTGGCAACTGCCCACTTCTTTTACTGAGAGAATCTGGAACTTTAGAATTCTATCAGCAACTTAAAAAAATGTTAGCTACTTTCATAAAAAAGAAGAGTAAAAGATTCTCATTGTAAATGAAGAGACTTTTGAGCTAATAATTAATGTGGGGTTTGGCTTAATAGCAGTGAAATAATGCAATGTCTTATTTCATAAGTTCACTGGAAATTGCAGCTTTTCTGGCTGCTGGCGCCCCCAGTTTAGCTTTTTTGAGGTAGTATCTGATTTGGAAAGGACTGCTTTTACCTTCCCTGCATTTCTGTGTTTTAGCTATTCACTTTATATCCTGCCTTGATCAGTTTTTTGGCTAGTCTAGTCTTTTTTCTTTCAGACTTTTATCTCATAAATAATGTATTACATCAGGATATTCTGCCAATATTTATATTTAGAGATTATTATTCTAGTTTTGATGTGCTCCTTTTTTTGGAATTCAAGATTTATTCTCTAAGGACAAAAAGGGAAGATTTCTTCAAAAATGGTAGACTTGTCACTGTCAGCTGTTACAGTAAGTTACAGCTGTATCTAACTGTTGAGGATGAAAGGGCTTTTAGTCCTACTGTGAATGTCAGTGTAGTCATCTCACCCTCTTAAGGAGACATCTATTCTCTTGTGGCTGTATCAGAAACTCTTAAAGATTTCCTCCAAATTTTCCAATCCTGTATGAGAACATGTCAGGGAAGCAGAGTCTTAGAGTGGACCCAGCATAAGTATCCCTTAGTGGGGAAGACAAACTAATAGAGATAGCATGTCTTCAGAGGAGGAAAATTACCCTGGAAAGTAACCGGCTTTTCTTTTATGTTCATAGAAATATAACTGCCTGTATAAGCTATTTAAAATGGACTCTACAGTTGCTCTCATATTTCAGCCCAGTAAAGGAAAAGTGATCCGGGCCCTCCCTGGTGGCCCAGTGGTTAAAGTGCAGCACTATGAAGCTCTCCACAGCCACTGCAGCATGAGTTTGATCCCTGGCCGGGGAGCTGACCCACATGGCATGGCAGACCTCTCCTGATCTGCCTGCTGTTACCCTCAGTACATGTCTGTTCTGCTCCCTACTTTGTCTCAGGTGAAATCCTCCCACCCCCATACATCTGGCCTGTACCTCAGCTCTTGTATGCATAAGTAAATAAATCTATTATAAAAAACAAAAAAGGAAAAATTGATCACCTAAAGAAAGGCAATTATTTCCGGGTTTTTCTTTATAGACCACTTTGACCTCTCTAGTGTCAAATGGCCTGGGAGAGCCCCTACATAATTGATCAGAAAACAGAGTTTATTTTTTATCTTAAGAAACTATGGTTCTTAAGGTAGGTCTACTATGTGAACATAGTAGATGTTTCTAAACCAGTTTTTTTTTTCTCCTCCTAAATCAGCGGAAGGTCCTAGGAAATCCAGTGATGTCAGAAACGAAAAATAAGAACCCTGCTCTGGAAACTGTAGCTTTTGGTGAATTGAAGAGAGCCAGCAAAGAAAATATGAACCTAGTAAGATACTGTTTTTTGGATTGTCTCTCTTTTGTGTACATTTGTAGAAAGGAGGACAATTGATATACTGTCATCTGTTTTCCTTTGTTTCAATGTACCATTCAGTTACTCCCTTTTCTCAGTTATCTTTTCATTTATGCTGGGTGTCTTTCTGTTGATTTTTACTGGTTTACTCAACAAATACATTTGAGTTGAAGGAGGAGATAGCTAGTGAAAAGCAGAGAAGATCAATACAGTGGAATATCCCCACAAAATGCTGGAGTGGCCACTTTTGCTGGGAGACTCCATAGGGCAGATGACCTTTGAGCTAGGCCTACCTGGCACATTAGCTGGGGGCTGGTTCTTTAGATATCTCAGGCAGAGTAACTTCATTGGGCCAGCAATAAAGTTAAAATTAATGATGAAAATATATCAGTCTCATTAAAACTTTTCATGTTGCATTTGAACAAGTAGTCTGTCTACGGGAATGACATCAGCACATTTATGTCACTAATTTTTTTCTTGTTACAGTTATTTTCTGACTCCCCACCTGTCATGATGACCCCAACAAGATTGAAATGGTCTGAGGGGAAGAAAGAGGGGAAAAAAGGTACTAAGTGTTCTTATTCTGTATTCTTAATGAGTGTAGCTCCTTTCTGCATCTAGTCAGCCAGTAACATTTTTTTTTTTTTTTTAATTCCCTGTGTAGAATGGTTGCAGCCAGAAGCAGTGTAAAAATTTCAGGGTACTTGCCCTTGAGTTCACTTAGCAGATGGTTCATGAGCAGCATTCAGCACTGTCCCAGGTGCTGAAGAGTAGAGCTGTGAACACAGACCTACAGGGTCCTTGTATTCTTGGACAGATGGGAAACATGAAAGATATCTTAAGAATACTTGTTAAGCAAATTAAAAACAAGTGTAAAGTAATTTGTGAAACCAAGCACAGGCATGCTGAGAATATCATCAATAAATGTGAAATAGTCTTGTTTATTCAGTGACGCTTCCTACATGAACAACTGATGCTGAAGGGCCCTGGAAATTATACCATACAGCATGATTTTGAGAATATTTAAGACAAGAAGGAATATTTAGTGTTGAAGCTGTTGTTTGTGCTGTGTTTTAAAGATTATTTATGCATACAGAACTGGGGTACAGGCCAGAGTGCAGGGGCGGTGAGAGGATTCACCAAGACAGAGTGGGGAGCAGAACAGGCAGATCAACGAAGTACACTGCTGAGGGGAGCAGCAGGCGAGACAGGAGAGGTCTGCTGCGGGTCACCTCTGGGGCCAAGGTGGCTTTGGCTCGCTTGCAGTGCTGCGTCCTAACCTGTTGCACCACCAGGGAGGGCTTGCATTGTGTTCTTGAAATTTGCAGATAGGTTTGATATGAGTCATCATTTCTCTGTCCTGGAAAATCTTTCATTCTCTCTGAGCCTGTTTTTGCTTCTGAAAAATGAGGCTAGACGCCTGTTCTTGCATGCATAAATAAGTCAGTCTTTAAAAAACAAATCTTGAAAAAAATATTTCCACCTATATATCCATGAATCAAAATCAAACATGTTTGTACCAGTTCTCCCTTTTGTTGCTTTCATTTATGGAAGCAATCAAGAAATAATAATTCTGTATAGACAGTTCCATTTCTGGAAGGAAGAAATACATTTAAACAAAGCCAGTTTAAGTTTGCCAAGAAGTTTTGAGCAGGTGTTCTTAATTTGTCTGATTTTGATGTAATTTTACATGTAGGTACATTTATGCATTTTTCTGAAGGAGAGTATAATTTTTATTAGGATCTCAAAAATGTTAGTGATTCAGAAAAGTGGAGGTCCACAGATGAGGCCTTCTGTGTTCACTTTCCTCTGTCCCAACTCACTCTCCCTGTCTGGAAATGCCTCCTTGACTGTTATGTTGCTGCACTAGTCTTGTCTTTCCTCTCTACTTCTTTCCCATTTCTGCCTGCCTTATTGTCCGCCTGCCTGTCTGCTTCTTGTGATTATTAGCGGTCTGTCTTAAGTTCTCTCCTCATCTCTGCTTTTGCTTTCCCACCTCTTAACAGCTTGCTCTGTTTCCACAGCTCAATTCTGCTCTCTGGATAACTGCTCCCAGGTCTGAACTCCTTCCTTCTCTAAGCCCTCAGATCCAATTATGTGTCATCTATTTTTTTACACAATGGAAGCAATCAGAGTTTTTGGTGATTTTATAAAAGTAACATGTTCTTTGAAAAATTCAAACCAATTTTATTATCATCATCACCAATAGCATTCTCAGCATCCTCCAAAAAGACATTTTTTTAGTACAGTGTTTCTTAGCTTGGCACTATGCAAAATTTGGTTCAAAAATTTCTTTGCTGTGTAGCTGCCCTATGCATTGTCAGAAGTTTGCAGCATTCCTGGTCTCTACTCAGCAGTATACTCTGCCCAGTTCTGACACCAAAAATGTCCCAGGCATTACAAGTTATTCCAAAATGGGAGGAGGAGGTAAAAATCATCCTTAGATATAAAATACTGATTTAACACCTGTTTACTAATGGACATTATTTTTAGCAGTGAGAATCTGAGCCAGTGTTCAAAGTCTAGCCAACACCCTACCTCCTCTTTGAAAGCTGCTTTGACTAATCCAGCCATATATACTTTTTCTTTTGAACTCATTCAACTTATCAAAACATTGGTGTTTAATATGATTTAATATAGTTATTTATTTCTCATGTGTTGCTTCTTGTTTTCTGTTTTTTTTCTTCTTCTCATTAAGACAGTGCTTTCCATCTAGTAGGCAGTTAGTAAACATTTGCTAGTCTTCTCACAGTAGTGGTAAGAATATGAACTCTGCATTCACTTAGGCTTGGGTTTCAGTTCCCAGACTGACTGCTCAATAACTGTGTGTCTTGGGGTGATAACTTGTGTAAGCTTCACATTCCTCACTTGTAAAATGCCAAAAGTGCGAACCTCATGCCAGGTGGCGGTGAGGACAAATGAGATAATGTACTCAGAGTAGTGTCTGTAGCTTAGTTATATACTTAATAAAGTGGTAGCTGTTACTGCCATTGAGATGGTTTTATGAATTGAGATTAGACAAGTGTACAAAATGATGTTCACTCTGGTAGAGAGCTCTAAATTACCAGTGTTCTTTTATGCCCAGTTTATAGAAAATAGTAAACTAGCTTTTAGGTGAATGTTTGCAAAAAGAAATATTTATACATGTGATTAATGCTCTTCTTTCTCTTGTAACCTAGGATTCCTCTGAAGCATCCAGACCTCTCTCGTCTACCCAGGATTTTCTCTGTAGTGGGCCAGGAGTCTTTACCACTCACAGAGAAGCTTGGACTTGCAGCTTGCTTGCTGTATTTTGAGTTGTGAAAGTCAACTAATCTGTGATCTTATTGATACCTCTAACCCCACTCACTGGATGATGTCTGTACACTCTGCCTTCTGAATCAGTGCTAGCAGCCTTTTTTTTTTTTTAAACTATTATGGGAAAGACCACTAACACGGCAGGTTACACAGCACACCTGGACAGGCCAGGTGGGTTCTAGTACTTATTCAGTATATTTGCTTAGGCAGGTTGTACTTTTTTTTAATATGACATTTGTGCTTAACTGTGATTTTTTTTTTTTCCTTTTTAATTACTGTCAATCCTAGTGGATTGATGTTATTTTTAACTGATATTTTGGACTTTTCTATTTTGATAGTATTATGGGGTTTTGGTTGTTTTTTATTTGTTGTTGTTGTTAAAAGCCATTTTTTGGATAGGTAATCTAAAAGGGCTCTGAGGCAGATACCTTTCACCCTTCTCCAGCTCAAGCTTTGGGAAAGCTATTTCATAAGCTATATTCTTTAGTATCTTATTGTGTCCCCAAATTTTATAGCTTTCCTAGAAATTTTAAATTTTTGCATGGATACGAGATTATAGGATATTTGATTTGTGATATTAAAAAAGGAGAGTTTAGAATGTTAAAATATTTTATCAAATTTCGGTTAAATTGTGTCTCTCCATTCTTCTCTCCCTTTCCTCAGTGATGTCAAAATAGCTGTGTGGTTGCTGAACTCATTTCCAGCTGTTTCCTCTCACCTACAACATTTCTGGTGCCAGTGTAATACTTCGGTGCCATATCACCGTGACTCAGAGAAAGTCACTGACAGTTTTCTAGCTGTTTGCTGAAAGAGCTGTGCGTGTGGACGCTCTGGAGTGTGACTGGGATGGGGCCAAGTGGCTGTGTGTTCAGGACAACTCCTTATGGATGGGACTTTAGTGCATCCTTCTTAGGGACCTGGGGTGTGGGCTATTCCACATCTTGAGAGCAAGTTGGAGTCAGAGGAAGGAAGTGTGAGCAATGGTGTCTGCAGGCCTGAGAGGAATTAAAGGAGGAAATGTTCTTTGGATGCACCTGAGGCTTTCACCAGTGTTTAAGGAGCTGCTGCTGCACTGACCGCTCCTTGTCAGAATGTGCATGCAGAGTATTTGCTCATGGCGCCACACCTCTGACTGGGTTAGGCATGACCTTAGGTCTGAGGTGAGAAGTGGCAAGGCTGTGACCTGGTGTGGAGCCTGCTGCCCAGAGAGCAACGCGTGGCAGGGGAGATGCTGGGTTCGTGCCTTCTCTGTTAAGCAGTGGGACATTCTCACCCGTGTGCTAGAACTGAGGCGGCCTCTGTGCAGAAGCAGTTTCTCATCAATGTATGATTTTCTGATGTTTTAAAACCACTGAAAATGCTGTGTTATAGCTGAACCAAAAGATGAGTCTGGGCTTGGGTTTGTCCAGGTATTGGTCCTTTTTTGTACTTTGTTTTGCTGCTATAACAGCAAAAGAAAAGTGAAGGAAAAATGTAACCTTTGGCCTTCCAGTGTGTAGTTTATGAACAGCTGATGGGTAGGAGTATAATGGTGCTGAGAAGCCCCGATCTCCAGAGCAGCTTATATGAGTCTTTAAAATAGTATTAGCTAACTCATTGTTGGACTGTTTTTCTTACTGAGAAAAAATTAAGTTCCTTGGCACCAGCCATCACTGAATTCAAGCAGAAACTTGTGTTAGTATGACCAGGGTGAAGTAGTGTTCTCCCTTAACTCCACACTTCCTTTTCTTAGTTGTCTGAGTGTTTCTTTGGAGGAAAGAACCTATTTGCTGTGTTCAGGCATCAAGTAGCAAGCATAGAGCAGTGACCTGATACCTTTTTATTCATTCTGTGGTTATATTTGAGGGAAGAGTGGAGATTTAGGAGATGTCTGATGGCTAAGTGGAATCAGTACCCCAGACTGGTGTCCTGGGCTTGTGTGGTGAGGAAGGAGTTTGTCATGCACATGCGTCTAGATAGCTCGCCTCCTTGGGCAGTCTGTGTGTCTCAGGTAATGTGTGTTTCGTTAAAGTTATTTATTGAATATGCTGTCCCTGCATTAAGGGTATGATAGGTCATTTTTCTTCTAGAAGCTGTGATCTAGTTGGAATCTGAGTTTGAAGAAAACAGAACATAACCTTCTGCTTTACAGTATGTAACTATTCTAATCCTGTGGAGTGTTATGGGGAACTCAAAGACAAAAGCCTTTTGCCATTTACTATGGAAGGGTACTACCTCCCTTCTGATATGGTGGGTAGGTATTTTTGAGCCAGTATTTTTTTTAATTAAAAATTAAATTTAAAATAATTTAAAAAAATCCATAAGGTATGTTAAAGATTTGTTTTGTCATGTTTATTTTTCATGCTGGAACAATCTTTTTGGAAATGCCTCTTGCATCTTTTAAAATTTCATTTCTTTCTGAGGTGAATTGTGGTAAGTTTTGGTGTGGTGTCAGGTGGAGGCAGAGTATTTGTGGCAGGGAACAAAAGCATAAAAGTGCCAACCACATCTCCTTGATTCAGGCTTGCAGTAGGTGAGCTTCACCAGTGGGATCATGAAAGCTGCAGATGCTAGAGTTTCTAGTCTTTATAGTGATGGGCCGCCACTCTGGGAACAGTGACTTTGGTTGAGAAACTCCACTGCAGCAGTGAAAGAGATTAGGAGACACTGACTGTACCTGAGTGTCAGAACCTAGGAAAGGAGCCGGTACTTAATGAGCCATGACTGAAACATGTTGGTCTTTCGTAAAAGGAGCCTTTGTCTTAAATGTCCTTCCAGAGTTGGTCAGGAGTGACCTTTGGGAAATGACTAATGCAGGGCAGTTAACAGCGGTGGTCACTGGATGTTCCAGAGGGGTCTTGTTTCACTGCCCGTGAAGCTGGTTGATCCCAGAATGTCAGAGCAGAACCATCTGTTCTCCTTAAGAGCAGTGTTGCTGCTCTGCTTCCCTTACAGGCGTCTGTGTTAGATACGGTTTGAAGTGCTGCCTTCTCAGAGCTGTGGTCACTGGGGCTGTGCCACACCAACTCCCTTGCAGAACAGGGAAGCCAGTTTTGGGAAGGGACTTCTCTAGACTTCTGAGTTCATGCCATGTCCTTGCATAGGTGCTAAAGCTGGTGCCTCCATTCTGCTCTTTTGAAGTTGAATTCCTGTTCCTAGGAAAGCACTCATGCTTGCCCTTCTCTACCCTGAAGCCTTTGTACTGAAGCTAGAACCTCGATCTAAACCTGAGTTTCCGGCATTTGGGCAGAGTTGCCCTGGCATTTGGGGTAGATCTGGTTCCTAAGAGAATTTTCAAACCAGTGGTGATTAACCCAATTCCAAACTCAACGCCTGAGATCTTTCTACCAGTGGAGAGCTGGTGGAGGGGCTAGTGAGGAGTTAGAGTGCTAGGGTTGCCATGGAAACTGGAGTGTGTGAGGCTGCAGCCTGGCTAGCTCACGAGCCATTGAGCACCCCTAGGCGTGTTTAGGGACCAGCAGGACTTGGGGAAAATATTTCCTAGGCGCAGAGTCCTTTCTTCATAGCAGAGGTTGCTTTTGCCCTATCCCTGTGCTTGCTAGCAAGAGAAACAGGTTTCCTAATTGCTTCATTGTTTTTAATGTTCATTCTTATTTGACTGTCTTATATATATGTATGTATTTATGTATGTATGTAATGGAATATGTAAAGAAACACTTATATGCATTGTTTTTCTTTTATATTCATATCATATTCTAAAATTAAATTTCTTTTGTTTCATATTCATAGGCTCTGACTGGTCTCTTAACTCATGTTTTCACTGAGGATTGTTTCTTGTTCTGACGAATATGAGCCCTCTAAAAATACTGCCCCTTCGATTTGTTTTCCTGGCTCGTGTGTGGGTTCAGGGGGTGTGGGGCTTTTGAGTGAAAGGAAATGGGGTTTGGGCCTCTGGGAACCCTGAGCTTCTGGAGCCCTGTGACGGAGTCTTCAGTGGTTGGCTGTGTGGCTTTCACTTAGACATATAACCATTGTTTCTTCACTTAGAACTAAACCATGCAGTCAGAGCACAGTAAAAACAAAAGGACAGCTCTGGTTGAAATGTTTCTCCCACTGGTTTTTACATAGGTGACCCCAGTTGGGCATGTCCCCTCATCTGTGAAGTGGGAGACAGTATCTTGGCAGTGCCGCCATCCTCTTAGAGGGAGGGCGTCACACGACAGGGCTTAATCCAGGGCCCGTACTTCTTTGTGCTTCAGAATGTCCTCTGCCCCTGTAGTTCTGTGTAAATTTGTGTGCATTTGAGTTTTTCAAAGGGAGACTTGATCATTTCTGCAGGAATCCCAGAGGACTCCTTGACCACAGAAATGCTCAGGCCCACCAGCCTTACACGGTGCCTGGCAGATGGCAAGGATTCATTACATGTTATTTTTTTCTCTCTGCCAAGGATACATTTTATAATCGGGAGGTTATTGATGCTGACATAGTGATTTTTGATAACAAAGGAATCACTTAAATCTGGCATAAAAATAAAAACTCTGCAGTTGTCTTTACTCCATTGCCTCCCTGTGAATTCTTCTTGCTGTGTCAGCTCCCAGGTGCTGCTAGAGCTGTCTGTCCCTCTCTCTTACCCCCAGCCACCAACTCATATTACTTGCCCTAAAGAATGGAGCCAGGTCTGTTTTTGACAGGGATGCGTGGGGAGAGTCTTAGCTGGTACACAGAAATCTGAGTAATGTTGGGGGTGGGGAGGGAGGGCGGCAGGGACAAGAGTTATTTTGAAAGATAGGATCACTGTGCGCAGCAGTTGCCAAGCATGTTGAGCGTAGTCAGGAGTTGTAGACAGGAATGAAGTTATAGACATGCATTAAAAGCAGTGGAAAGGGAAAATAATCAAGTTTAGAAGAATTTTCCTTCGCTTCCGCTTCCTACCCGCCCCTGACAGGACCTTTGTCCCCAGTGGCAGGCTGCCCATCTTTGCTCCAGCCACATTCTTGAATTAGAAGCCCAGGGGAGGGGAAAGATGAAGAAGCCTCTGCCCTAGACTAGAGTAATAATGTAGAGTACATGAAGTGGCTTAAGGCACTTCTGTTAGCTCAGCCCTTCAGCCTCCCCGTATAAAGCAAAAATAAAAATGAGGGTTCAGCAATAGTCAAGTCTTGGTCCAAGTTGGTCTGTAATATCTTGTCTTCCATCAGCGCATTGGTGCTCAGATCGTGAGAGTCCCACCTTGGAGGCAGGATGAAGGCTTCAGGGGCCTGGTGGGGGTCTTGGCTAGCCTCCCTTTCTATTCCCAAACCTCAGCCTTTAGACATTCCCCAGGGCCCGATAGCGAGGACTGCTGAATGCAGTCGAGCCATTGCAGGGGCAACAGAGAAAGGAAACAAACTGTCTAGAAAC